CACCTTGGGAATTCCTCTGTAAGTCCGCTCACCCATGGCACCAAAGATCCACTTTGTTTCAGCGGTGCTGGAATTGGGAGAGTGCCTGCTAGTAATCTGTGGTCCCAGTATTGCTGATAAAGTCAAGCACAGGCCTCTCAGTGCCATTAAGCTGACCCAAGCCTTCTTGGTAACCCGCTTCAAGGGGAGCGGGCCCACCCTCCTACAGCAGCAATGGACTCTCTGTTCTCGTTTCAACAGCGCTGAATCAGTCCATTTGCATCTAGTCATCCCAAGTTACTGATAAAATCAGGTGCTTAAGGTAGATCTTTGGGGTGATCACTGGTATGCTGGTGTGGTCACTGGTATACTGCTGTGGTGTGTCTCCTCCCTTAACCCAGGGAGGTCTCAGATGGCCATTCTCGCCTGCTGGTCACTGCCCCATGGAAGTCTCCAATGGCCTTTCTCAGCTGCCTGTCTGTGCTCTGCAGGATAGATCTTCTTATTTTTTTCCCCTGTACCTTTCATCTCTCTAATTCTACTCCTCTGAGTTTGGTGCACTCTAACTCAGTGAGCTGTTCAAATCACCAGAATCCCTAACTCAAATGCTGTAAGCACTAAGATGCTAGAGGGAAATAGCGTGGTGATTACTGCTGAGATTCCATTTTGAATCCCTCCTGGATTATGTTTTCTTATCCAGTCGGCAACTCTCCATTTCTTGAGTGGTGCATTTAATCCCTTGACATTCAGTGTAATTATCAACTAGTATGAATTGGTTGCTGTCATTCTGTTGTGTTTTTTCATGGTGTTCCTGGTATCTTTGTTCCCTATAATTTTCTGGGCTGAGTTCATTATGTTTATGAATCGTGTTATCATTTCCTTTGTTGTTATTGTTTTAGTATTTGCTAAATATTTGGGCTTGACTTTTTTTATTGTGATGTGAAGGTTTATCGTTTTATTTGAGGTTACCCTGTGATTTATAATTTTCTCCCCAAGTTTAGAAGAATCCATTCTCTCTTCCAACTTTCTTGACTTCTTCACCATTTAGAAGTTCTTTAACTACACTATTTTCCCACTCTTTTTGGTTTGTATTTGTCCTCATTTGCCAATTGATGTTGCCTGTTTACAATCTTGTAAGCTTATTTTACTTTGGATACTTCCATAACTGTGTTTGCTTCTGGGTTGTGTCATCTTGTGTATTAATGGTCAGTTGTTGTTTGCTATTACTGGTTCTCTGTTCAAAGGACTCCCTTTAGTATATCTTGTAAGGCTGGTCTAGTTTTAACAAATTCCTTTAATTTCTGCTTCTCTGGAAATCTAATTTCACCATCATATTTGAGAGACAATTTTGCTGAGTATGTAATTCTTGGTTGGAAAATTTTCTCTCTCAGCGTTTTATACATACAGTCCCATTGCCTTCTCACTTGCATGGTTTCTGCTGAGTAATAAGTGCTTTTTCTTATTTCTTCTTATTTTATTATTTGTAGTAACTTTTCATTTTTCCATGCTGCTTTTTGGATTCTTTCTTTGTCTTTGGTTTTGATGTGTTTGATGATGATATGTCTTGGTAATTTTGTTTTGGGGTCTATTCTGTTTGGGGTTCATTGGACTTCCTGAATGGATATATTGTCATCTTTCATCATATCAGGGAAGTTCTCTTCCAACAAATCTTGGACAATTGTCTCAGTGGTTTTCTTTTTCTCTTCCTGTTCTGGAATTCTGATTACATGTAGGTTATTCCTTTTGATGGTATCCCATATGAACCTTAGGCTTTCTTTGCTCTGTTTTGATCTTTTTTTCTGATTGATCCCTTTCAAAATAAGTATTGAGGTATTTGTCTTCAATCTCATGAATTCTGTCTTCCATGGATTCAGTTCTACTCTTTTGTCCTTTCAATGTGTTATTTATTTCTGAAAATTTAGTATTTATCTTCTGGATTTCTATGTGCAAATTTTGTATCATTTCTAATTTTTCATTTATTTTGTCATTATGTTCTTGCATTTTCTTCTGAAATTGTTCTAGAATTTTGTCTGTGTTTTCCTTAATTTTGTCAGTGTTTTCTTTGATCTGTCTCTCAATCATTTGAAGATACCTAAATATAATTCTTTTGAATTCCTTATGAGGGAGTTCCAATGCTGCTTCTTCCTCAGGGATGTGTTCTGGGTCTGTATCTTGCTCTCTTGTTTCTACCACTTTATCTTGCTTCTTTGTGTGGACTGTGATGGTCTGTTGTCTCTGAGACACTGTGACATTGTTGTATTGAGATCTCTGTCAACTGTTTGTGAAGAGCAGTTAAGGTTGAATCAGGCTCTTCTTGGTGGTCATTTATCATAGGCCCATTGGTGGGGAAGGAAGTGGTGGCTTTCACTCAGTGAGTTAAGCTGCAGGAGGTGCTGGTGTAGTTGTGTTGTAAGGGCACTGTTGCTGTCTCTCACTTAGTTTAGACAAAAACAACAATTAAATAACCATCAAAAAATTAAAAGCAAGTGGACAAAAAGCACATCATATAAACACACAGGAACCATAGCCAAAAAAAGAAAAAAAAAAACAAAACAAAACAATAAAAACCCCATAGTATCTGGGGAGAGGGCAGTAAAAGAAAAAAGGTAGAGTAGGATAATAATGAAGAAAAAATGTGAAAAATGCAAAAAGAAAAACAGGGAATGGGGTTAACCACCAGAAACAAAAAAATGGGAACCAGGAATAGGGAAGATAGAAAAAGCTGGAAACTAGAACCTGGGAAGGGAAGAATAAACAATAATAATAAAAAGGACATTAATAATTATACTAATAATTTTAAAACAGGCAAAAACAAACTAAAAAAAAAAAAAAAAGCTGGGCATGGCGGGGCAGGGCACCCAGGCTCTGTCTGAGCACACAGACTGGGATGGAATTCCTGCCAGCCCAGAATGTGGGTGGGAGTGAGGGATGGCCGCACCTCCATTCACCAAGAGGGTGTGGGGTATAAGAGTAACAAGGGGAATATTGCACCTTTCCAGTCTTTGGTGTCCAGAATATCCTTGTGGTTCCTAGCAAGTGGAGCCTATTCTTAGGTCCCTGGACTCTGAGAGACTGCTGTCACTTTAAATATTGAAAATTGTCAAACCATTTGTAAACGTTCAAAATGGCTGCACCCTCTGGACAGGCAAAAGTTCACAGCTCAGCCTGCCTTCCTCTTCAGTGCTTCCCCTTTTATTCACCAGCCACCCGTGCAGTCCTCTATGCAGCCCTTGGCTAACAGGACTGATTTTTAGGTTAATTCTTGGGTCCTACCACCACTTGGCAATATCCAAGCTGTCTGTGCCATCAGGATTGCTGACAAACTGAAGCTCCATATATCTCCTTTTTTGGTGTTTTTGTGCAAGATCTTCTACTAGTTGGAGGTTAGTCCACTTCTATATCCTTCCCTTCAAAGCTCAGGGCTCCAGGATTATCTTCTGTATCTGTGCTAATTGGTTCCCCTTTTCTTTGTTGAAGAGGGTCTGTGTAGTCTGTCTGCCTATTCCGCCATCTTACCAGAACTCCTTAATTCACTCTTGCATGTTTTTGTTGTTAGGTGCCATTGATTCAGTTGATTCTGACTCATAGCCATGCCATGTGACAGAGTAAAACTGTCCCATAAGGTTTCCTTGGATTTATAGAATCAAATCTTTAGGTCTTTCTTCTGAGAAGCTGGTGTTTGGCTTTGAACCATCAATATTTGGTAACTGACGCTTAATGATTTTGTCACTGAGCTCCTGATATAAGGTATACCAAGAAACCAAACTCACAGCTATTGAGTCAATTCCAACGCATAACAACCCCAACTGGGTTTCCAAAGCTGGGAATTTTTATGAAAGCAGACCTCCTCATCTTTCTTATGCAGAATGGCTTATGGGTTCCCACCAGCAACTTTTGGTTAGCTCTCAAATGCCTTAACCACTACATCACCGGAGCTCCTTTGATATAAGTTATAATGAAAGTAAATTGATACCTTTTAAAAACACAAGGTCAGAGTTATGTAGCCAGTGAATTTTATTCTTCAAATAATATCCTTGGAGTATATACTCAGTCTAACATTGCTGCCTGAGCACAAACTACTGTGGAATTTTTTTTTTTAACTTGTATTTTTGAATAGGAAAAACTCCGGTGGTTATAGCATTTGGAGGCTAACTAAAAAGGTTAGTGATTGGAACTATCCAGCCACTCTGTGGGAGAAAGATGGGGCAGTCTACTTCTGTAAAGATTTATAGGCTTGGAAACCCTGTGGGGCAGTTCTACTTTGTCCTATAGGGTTGCTATGAGTCGGAATCTACTCAGTGGAGGTGGGTTTGGTGTGTTTTGAATATCTGCAATGGTGTTGCTCTTCTAACTTAAACTAGTTGCCATTAAGTTGGTTTCGACCCCCTGTGTGTCACAGCACGACTATCCTCCATAAAGTTTTTAATAGTTCATTGTTTGAGAGCACATCACAGGGCCTCCTTTCTCCCAAGGCACCTCTGGGTGTCCTTGAACCTCTGACCTTTCAGTTAGCATCCAAGCACATTAGCAATTTGCACTGCTCAGGGACTCCTATTATAACTTAGCCTGAATTTTTTATATTTTTTAAAAATATCATTTGCAGGCAAGTTTTGTCAGTAAGGTAAGGTGAATGTTGCCAGATTAGTTAACATTATTTTGGTAACAATTAAGATGTTGACTTCATTATGAGAGTAAATTTCCCATGTGGTCTGTAAGCTGCCCCTGAAGCAATCCCCAAATATGAATTTTACATATACACTGATTACTATGCCCATTAGTAACTTACTTGATAGACATCAGTTTGGATGTTTAAGTTCTGTTGTGCTAGTTAAACCAACCAATTGAGCCTCTAACAAACCAACCAGCCAACTAGCAAAAAGCATCATACATTTCCAGCCACTCCATGGACTTTTCCCATTAGATGCTTTTTCCTTAGGATACAGGGGAGGCATTAAGAAGTTTCTCTCTGTGCCTTTCTTGTTCTCATTACAGTAAATTGAGACTATTACATTGTCACTCACCTCATCTGCAATGCATACTCCTCCCCTCTCTCGCACCAGCTCAAAGGCTTCCTTGAGAAACCCCTTTGGGTACTGAACAACTCCATTCACACCCTGCAAAAGACCAAGCCAAGAAGACCTATAATCATAGCACCAGCTCTTGGAGAAGTTTAAAAAGAGTTTTTTTTTTTTTTTTTTTTTTTTTTTAAGGATGGATCATTATTTTCATTGTCATTAGTAATAATGGCAAGCAGTCTACAAAACCATTTCAGCTATGGATGAAAGGAAGGGCCATTATCCTTATGCCATGTCTTCTGGAAAAAAATACAAATATTCATTCTTTCCTTAGAATAGAAAAAAAATCAGAATAAGAAGATTTGGTAAAATTAAAGAAAGACTCCCCTGACAATGTGGGTATTAAATCCAAACTCACTGCTGTTGAATCAGATCTGACTCATGGAGACCCCTCCTTGGGTTTCCGAGGCAGTATCTCTACGGAAGTAGATTGCCAAACCTTTCTTCCGAGGAGTGGTTGGTGGGTTTGAACCGCTAGCCTTCTGGTTAGCAGTCAAGTGCCTTAGGCACTATGCCAAATTAGTGGGATTTCCTTTTCTGCATCTATCTATTCAGTCTGGGAATGCAGGAGATGGCTTTTTAATTTTATTTTTATTGTGATTTGGGTGAAAATTTACAGCGCAAATACACTTTCCATACAGCAGTTCACATACACTTTGTCTCATGACATTGACCACAATTTAGCACAATGCAACATCTCCCCTCCCACTTCCTCCCTATAGTTACCTCTTCCCTGTGTCCATCTCTCCATGCACTCCTACCCCCTGAGCTGTCTCCCTGTGCCTGAGCAGCCCTTCTTTCTCTCATGCTTATTCTCTCCAAGGAGTGTATCTGCCTCAGATAAATGTTCAACTGATATGCCTGTCTATTGTTGGGCTGGAAGCCACAGGTGTGCGTTCAATTCCAGACCTGAAGGGCAGTTAGGGGTCATAGTCTCAGTGGTTCCACCAGGCTCCCTCGGGCCAGCAAACCTGTTCCCCACTTTTTTTATTTTCTTTCCAAATGATTTTGAGTTTTGTTCCACATTGTTCTCCCTGTCTATCCAGGATCTCCTACAAAGTTCCTCTTCCAAGTGGTTGACAGTAGTAGCTGAGCACCATCTATTTCTTCTGGTCTCATAGTCATACAGGCTGCAGATCAGATGGTATACCAGTTGCTAGGACTAGCTGTTTCCATGAATTTTTGGTTTTCTTCATTCTTCTTGGCTCTGGATGAGGAGAGACCCATTGTTGCATCTATATGGTGGCTTGCAAGCTTTTAAGATCTCAGTTGCTACTTGCCACAGAGGTGGAACAATGTTTTATGTAGTATGTTATGCCAATTGAGTTTGATGTCCTCTGTGACTATGGTCCCAGGCCCACAGGTTCAACTACTTGGTCCCTCTGGGTAGCTGGCTGTGACCAAGCAGTGACTACAACCTTCCCTTGTCAGCCCCATTATACACCTGGGGATTCAGATCATACACATAAAGTTATTGGACCACTTTCTGCCAACCCTATACCTGTTCTTGGGTGCACTCTCCACTTCATATACATACCTAGTATTTCAGCCTGTCCACCCATCTATCCACCCATATACTCATGTTTGCCTTCACTGATCACGACGTACTATATGCGCCAAAGCATTCATCTTTGTTGTCTGTACTTCCCATATACCTCTCTATGTCTTTCTCATCCTCAATGCCACTATATTGATCACTCACATTTGGTACATTGCCCTTTTCTTCACCCATATCAAAACTTATCTCTATCTATCTAACAGTATTCCCTCCCCTCCCCGCCCACCCCTGGTAACCAACAAAGGAAATGGTCTTCCATAGATAAATGTTTCCTTGACTATTACAATAATGGACTAATACTATATTTGTCCTTTTGTGATTGACTCATTTCACTCAGCATAATGTCCTCCAGGTTCATCCATGTTATGCAGTGTTTTGCAGATTCTACATTATTCTTTAGGGTTGCATAGTATGTCATTGTGTGTATGTACCATACTTTGGATATCTGTTCCTCAGTTGATGGACACCTAGGTTGTTTCCATCTTTTGGCTACTGTAAATAGTGCTGCGATGAACATGGGTGTGCATATGTCTGTTCTTGTCATGGCTCTCACTTCTTTAGAGTATATACCTAGTAATGGAATAGCTGGGTCAAATGGTCACCTGGAAATCAGGGACCTTCTTTTTCCACGTAGAGGAAGAGAATGAATTGAATTCAGAGCAATAGACTCTTATGTTTTTGGAATTCTGTAGACTGTGTGAGTTAAAACTCCCTGATAATTTAAAAACTCAGCTGAATGAAGGATTAATGTTAATATACCCACTTGAATTGGCTCTGCGAAAAATCCAGCAACTGACTTGGCCACAGAAGTGTTCAGTGTATCTTTGAACTGTTCAATATACTGGTCTTTAGCTTGGCAGCAGTCTAGAAAACACAAAAATAAACAAGAAACTCCCAGCATTTGAAGATGTAAGAATGGCATCCAGAAGAATGGGGAAAAACAGGAAACAAGAATAGAAAACAGAGCATGTGAATTAATTAGCGTCCCTCGGTATTCAGTACACCAGCGTATAAGGATACAGATTTATGAAGGGGGCCTGCTTCATCAGAACAACTTGTACTTTGGCTCAAGGAAGGAGATTAAGATAGCCATAAAGACATAAACAAACTCTTCAGTCATTTCCATCTCAGGAAGAAAGCCCCAAAGTATCATTTGGTCTGGAATAGATAGCCAAGAATACCTATATTCTCTCTGATTTAGTTCAAATGTAATTGGGATACAAATTTAATCTTTTTGAAATTTGTTTTATTTATCATTCATCATCCCTTAATCTGATGTACAATTTTAATACTACAAAGCATTTGTGGTAGTTAAGGTTATGTGTCAACTTGGCTGGGCCTGGTTTTGAGTGGCTGGGCAGCTGGAGGTAGTTACTCCCCATGATGAGACTGGCAATCAGTTCCACGGTGGACTCTGCCATGAGCAGGTGAGTAGCTGCTTTAGGGATGTGGTCTGCTCCCAGTGTATAGCGAGCAACTTTCGGATTGGTCTACAGCTTTTTGGCACACTTAAAGCCTTCATGTAGCTGAGTCTTCATTTAGCTATTTTTCCTGCTGATCTTGGGACTGTCTCTGGACTTGAACTACTGGCCTGCCATGTTGTATGGTAATATTGGGACTGTGCTATTATGTCGACATTGGGCTTGTTAGCCTCAGTAGCCAGCAGCTGTCTAAGTGAAGAGACACCTTTAGCTCCAGTGGGCTGGGAGCAAGAGGCAGAGCTGAAGCCCAAGGTCAAGGGACTTTCACCCCACCCCTAGAGCTTGGCACTTTCAATTTGTAAGAATCTGTAAGAGAATAAACTCCTATTTGTTAAAGCCATCCGCCTGTGGTATTTCTGTTAGAGTGACACTGTTGTTGTTATTTGCCGCCAAGTAGACCGGACTCATAGCAATCTGTCCTTGGGTTTCCGAGGTGGTATCACTATGGAAGTAGATTGCCCAACCTTCCTTCCAAGGAGTGTCTGGTGGGTTTGAACCACCAGCCTTCTGGTTAGCAGTCAAGTGCCTTAGGCTCTATGCTACCAGAGAGTGACACTAGATAACTAAAATAGCATCTCAGTCTTGAGAGTTAGTGACTATGTTTGTAAAACAATCAGAATTCAGTCTAAAGAGGAATATTCTAAAGTCAGATTACTTTCATCTGTTGCAGCCCTAGCCATTTGGTTCTGTGCTTGTTATTCACTGGGCTTTCTCCCCTTTAAGAGCTTTTCATGGAAAGAAACTACGTCTTGCTCATTTTTGGAATTTCTGAATGAACAAACTGCCTGGTATATTGTAGGTGGTCAATAAATATTTATTAATTAAGAAAGAAATAAATGGTAGAAAATCTGGTTGCTGTGAGACATTGTGGAATTCCACTTGAAGACTTTTCTTACCTGAAAGGAAGTTAAGATTGTTGTTTGAATGATCTACTTTTCAATTCATCAATTCTCTTTTTAGCTTGATTAAATCTGCTGATAAACTTCCTCACTGAATTTAAAAATTTTAGCTATAATTTTTTTATTATCCACTAAAAAAACCTCCACTGAAGTTAGTTAGCCATCGAGTTGGTTGTGATTTATAGTGACTTTATAGGCACAGAACTGCCCTATAGCGTTTCTAAGGCTGTAAATCTTTACAGCAACAGACTACATCATCTTTCTTCCATGGAAAGCCTGGCAGGTTCAAACCACCATCCTTTTGGTTAGCAGCCCATTGTTTTAACCACAGTGCCACCAGAACTCCTCATTTTTTTTTTTTTTAAATTACAGTATATATTTTTTATATATCATAGTGCCTAAAGCATTTGGCTGCTAACCAGAAGGTTCATGGTTCAAACCCACCAGCTGCTCCATAGAAGGATGATGGGGCAATCTACTTCTGTAAAGATTTACTACCCCAAAGACTCACTATGATTCAGAAACAACTTGATGGCAGTGAGTTTGTTTGGTTTTATATATATTTTTTACTAAAACCTGCTTTGTCATTCTTTATAGTTCTTTATCCCTGACATGTTTTGAAGATTATATTTTATCTTCTTTAAACATTTTAAGAATTTATTTTTCTAATGTGTCTGATAATTCAATTATTTGAAATCCTTGTGGGTCTGTGTCTTGATCATGGTGTTTTTGTTTCTTGTATATTAGTTATTTTTAACTATGAATGTTTATTTTCCTTGGGAATGTGTTGATCAGTATTCTTTGAGGTCTAGAATGAAGTCATTTCCTCTAGAGAATATTTGCATTTGCAGCTTCCAGGAACTTTGGTCTTGACCGGCATAAGATTCCTGTAAATTAGCAGCTTGAGGTAGTAAGACTGAAGTTCAAATTTGCAGTGGCGATTCTTCCCCAGGAGCCCCACTACTTGTACTCAGCACCAGAATCCTTGTGAACCTTCCAGTGAGTGAGGTGTTGTTTTTGGTGACACGTTTATTTCTAGTTGACCTATGAGTGAGGGTGAAGCCTCTTTGGTGTTCCAGCTTTATGGGTAGGGAAGGTTCTGCAATTATATCTCCTTTGTTAACCGGGCCCTGTACATTTTTAATTTGTTTCCTCCATTCCGTAGAGCCACAAACAATGAAGCTCAAGGCCACCAGATTTTACAAATGCCTGAAGTGCAAAAGATGCCTGCAATGCTCTGCTGACCTCTTTGGGTTCCTGAAGACCCTTACTTTCTTGCATTGGTGATTTATACATGATTTTCATTTTATCCAGGATTTTAATTTATCTTCACCTGGGGACTACCTTGGGTGTCATATTGTTCACCCTATTCAAATGTCTTAGTAATATCAACTGTGTTTACATTCCCACTATGCTTAAAGATGCTAGAAACATTTCTGGGTGTGGCAATGGAATCTTTGATAGCTGTAAGCTTCACCATATAGACCAACAGACATGAAATCCTACAGGTGGGAGAGGACGCGAGAAAAAGGAGATGATTGCCCACGAGGACTGGCCAAGATCAAGAAGCCTGCCATCTGCAAGGGAGCCACCAATGCAAAGGAGAGGAATCCTCTTCGGGACTATCAAGGATCCCAGGGCAGCTGCATTCCCAAGTGACTGAAGCTTCAGAATTTTCACATGCATTTGCCATTTAGTTCTGAACAATATTATTCAGTCTCTGAATCTCTACTCATCGACTCATATCCCTGGACAGCAGAAGGACTGCAGAAGGGGATGTGAATGTGATAGGAGTAGCCAGCACCACAGAAATGGAGAACAGTCACCATTTGCTAACCTAATACTGCTCTGTGACATGGGTGTCTCCTGATGTTTACAGATAAGGAACACAAATCTTCAGTAAATTGCCACCAAAAAGTGAAGCAGAAATATGTTAGCTCTTCATTAAAAATGGGAAAAACACCACTTGGCCCCAAATGACTTTATGGGCTACATGTGATATTTGGGAAAGTTGGCTTGGCAGAGGTTGGGGTTTGGGAGTGTGAGGAAGGAAGTAATAACAAGGGTATTAAACTCAGAAAATATATATTGCAGTATCACTTATGCTGTTTCAATGGGCACCATATAGTAGACAAATAAATCTACACCTCTAAAGATGGAAATGCCCTATTTTTATTAGGAAAGGAAGAGAAAACAGTGCAGAAATACCCTAAAGGAAAGATCAGACATATGTTCAAAAGACATAATTTGAAAATTGAGCAAGCTCATTTTTAACTAGAGAAATCAAAGTGTGGAGAAAATCAACCCCAATGGTTTAAATTTGGCAAACCAAGAGAGGGTTTTAATTGAACTTGTGTTGACCTTTCATGATTTTCTGCCCACTGCTCCACAAGTTTAATGATGAGAGGGGTCATGTGCTGTAATCAGCTTTTTACTTCACTTCACATGTACTTCAGTGGCACATTGTGTAACTTCAGGTCAGGTTGCCTCTAGAGAGAGATTTCATGGTTAGTGTGTCCAAGTCACCATGGCAACATCAAGGGGGTGGAGAGTGGATGCTCTGCTCGATGCTATCAAAGCAACAGAATGGAGATGGAAGAGCTTTTATTTTAGCTGGCGGCACAGAGTTAGGCAGAGTGAGCAGCAAAGAAAGAACAATTGTTCAAAAATAGAAACTTGTAAAAGAGTGACACAATTAGTACTAAGGTCAGGACACTGCAGGGTGGTCAGAGGTGGATTTCATCATGAGTTATACCTGAACTTCAGGGCCTGAAACGAACAGCTGAAGCAACAAGTCCCGGCGAGTGGAATGTGAGAAGATAATGAAATCTACCACATAAACATCTATATTGTTAGTTGCCACTGAGTTGGGCAATGAATGAAATATTGCCTGGTCCTGTGCTATCTCCATGATGTTGATATACTCAAGTCCACTATTGCTGTCACTGTCTATTTTGCATTCCTTCCAGGCAGGGGGCTTGTCTTCCAGCACTATATTGGACAATATTCTGTTGTGATTCCATAGGGTTTTCATTGGCTAATTTTTTGAAAGTTGATAGACCTTTTCTGTTCTGCCTTTGAGGTCTGTATTTGTCCAGAACACCTGCTGAAACCTTTTCACCATGGGCGACCCTGCTGGTATTTAAAATTCTAGTTGTGTAGTTTCCAGTATCATAGTGATATCCAGTATCATAGCAAGCCACCACATTACAACAAACTGACAGATAGGTAGTGGAGCATCTATATTAGGTTCTCAAAAATAGATCCCTCACCTATGCTGGGAATGATGACATCTTTCTGAAATGAAAAAAAAAAAAAAACCTACAAGGTTTTCCCCTGTATATACACAGTGAACTAACTGTAAGAGAAATTGAGAACTGGGGCCATATGTACCTGTGATAATTGGAGCTGTGTGTCAACTTGGCTGAACCACAATTCTGTGTGGTTTAAGCAATTGTGATGTGCGTTGTTCCAATGATGGGATCAGATGTATATGTTTTGAGCAGCCAATCCATTGAAAGGGAGTTTCCCTAGGGGTGTGGCCTGCTTCCAGTATATTTATGGACGTCCTGGGAAAAAAGACACTGTTCTGTGGATCGGGATTGTGTTGTGCTGCCTACAACTGTCCATGAGTGAACAATCCACTATTCGGCCTGGAGATCTTGGCTTCATCATTCATTGGAGTCAACAGCCAGTACACTGCCTGCCAACCTTGAACTTGTCAGCTCCTGCAGGAGCACGAGTTGGGAAAAGCCTCCATCTTGACATTTGATCCAAGAACTTGGGACTTTCCAGCTTCTATAAGTATGTGAGACATTTTCCTAAGATAAATTTCTCTTTCTCTCTCTATATAAGCTTTACTGGTTTTGTTTCTCTAGAGAACCCAGTCTCACACAGTACCCAGAATACATTCCATGTTGGGAAATGTTTATAAACATATATGATACACTTGTTTTACAACAAAGAATAAACACTTCCCAGATCTTAAAACAACAGATGTTTTAAGATGGGTGCTGAGTCTAATGAACCCAAGGTTGGAAAGTAGGATGGTACAATCCCAAGATCAATAGGTAAAATGGCAAACCACTGGATCAAGTGTAGGAACAATCCCAAAATTAGCAGGAAATGCAGCAGGCCACTGAGATGAAGACAGCCAAAAGAAGGATGCAGATGTGCGAAAATCTAGAGATCTTTCTCAAAGTTTCTCCTAATAAAGCTGATGTTCTCTTTGTATTCCAATTCTATTTAGATATATGAGATCAGTCTTGTTTCTTGAATACATGAGTTAAGAAAACAGCTTGCCAAAGAAAACAGTCTGGAGAAGCAGAAATGTCTGTCTCTCACTATCATTTAGCTTCCAAATGCCTCTAGAGGAATGATCATATGGTTCTTATATTTTCAAGTTGACCTAAGGCAGAGGAGAAGGTCTCAAAAAGGAAGTGTGGTTGTTAAGGTTGTGTGTCAGCTTGGCTGGGCCATGGTTTTGAGTGGCTGGGCAGCTGGATATAGTTATTTCCCATGATAAGATTCTAATCACCTCCAAGGTGGAATCTGCTGTGAGGAGCTAACTTGTTGTCTTCAGGGTATAGCCTGCTTCCGGTATATAAGGAGAAACAAAAGCCTAAAACCAAACTCACTGCCGTTGAGTTGGATCTGACTTATAGCAACCCCTCCTTGGGTTTCTGAGGTGGTATCACTACAGAATCAGATTGCCCAACCTTCCTTCCAAGGAGTGGTTGGTGGGTTTGAACTGATGGCCTTCTGGTTAGCAGTCAAATGCCTTAGGCACTATGCCACCAGAGCTCCTATATAAGGAGAAACTTTGAGAAAGATTTCTAGCTTTTTGGCACATCTGCCTCCTGCCTTTGGCTGTCTTCATCTCAGTGGCCTGCTGCATTTCCTGCTAATTTTGGGATTGTTCCTACACTTGATCCAGTGGTCTGCCGTTTTACCTGTTGATCTTGGGATTGTGCCATTCTACTTTCCAACCTTGGGTTCATCAGACTCAGCACCCAGCAGCTGCCTGAGTTAAGAGAAGCCTCCAGCTTCAGTGGACTTGGAATAAGAGGCAGAGCTGAAGCCCAGGTCAAGGGGACTTCACCCAGCCCCTAGAGCCAGCATTCTGAATTTGGACTTCTATCCTCCTAAGCTGTAAGAGAATAAATTCCTGTCTGTTAAAACCATCCATTGTGGTATTTTCTATTATAGCAGCACTAGAGAACCAAAACAGCGAGGAAGCAGAAAGGATGGAGGGAGAGAGGTACATGTGGTAGGGAGGGAATGAAAAGTCCATTTCTGGAGTGCTACTGTGTGCTAGAAGAAGCCTTGGTGGCACAATGGTTAAATGCTTGGTGCTAACCTAAAACTCAATGGTTCAAACCCACCCAGTGGCTCTGTAGGTGAAAGATCTGGAAATCTGCTTCTGTAAAGATTGCAGCCTAGAAAATCCTATGGGGCAGTCTAGTCTGTCACATTGAAAATTGACTTGACAGCTCACAACAACAACAATATTGTGTACTATTCTCTGTTCTGGTGGTTTTAAGTCAGACTAGGTCTTTGCAGTGCACCGAACTGATTTTAGCTCTCAATGCTAATTCATAGCGACCCCTCCTTGGGTTTCCAAGGCTGTATCACTTTGGGAGTAGACTGCCCAACCTTCCTTCGGAGGAGTGGTTGGTGGGTTTGAACCACCAGCCTTCTGATTAGCAGTGCCGTAGGCACTACGTCACCAGAGCTCCCCAATGCCATATAGATATGACATATAGATATGGTTTTACTTGTCACTTAGTGTATTTTTATGCAAATAACATACACTTTCTATATTGTTTGCCAGCTGCTCCCTCCTCCAGGGAGGTATTTTTTATAAGTGTTGCTATGCCAGTTTTTTTCTTTTTTAAACAAGTTGCTATAAAAACAACAAAACTAGCATAGCATGTTCTGTATGTTATCTGCTACTCTCTACGAGAAGACAAGGTGATCTCTATTCCTTTATCCTATAAAGCCCTATAATATGGGGGTGGGGAGAGCAAGGTATGGCTCTCTCTGTTTTAAAATGAGAAAAATGAAGTCAAAGATGGGGCTTTTTCCCTTTCTCAAGGGAAAGGCTGAGAGTGGAATCAAGATCACTTGTCTTGATTTCTGACTAGCAAAATGAGGCTTGCTTTTAAGCCTGGTTTCATTCAGATGGCAGATCAGTAAGAATTAGGGTGATCCTAGATATTAGGAGCACTGGCTTTGGAATCAGAAGACCTTGGATCAAATCCTAGTTCTTCTACCTCTGAGGGGTGGATCACATTTCTTCATCTTTAAAATGGAGAGTTTGAATTATAGCTTTGAATTTCCTTCTGGTTTTAAATTCTCAGTTCTGTAGCCATGACATCTTGCCTTGTTCCAATGCTCATTTTTCATCCTACCTTCATTTTGCCATTATCCCATCTGAATTTTAAGATGATTGTGAATTTTCTTCCTTTTAAAGCTGCTATTTAAGACTTCCATTTTGCATTCCTTCTCTCTACCCAGTGAGTCACACTTTCCATTAAGGATATTTGGGCTGGGGTAATTAGTTCTTTCTTTCAAAACTACTTAAGATAGGTAGTCAAGAAGTCCTGTACTGTGATGACGTATGTGAGGCAAGCCTTGGTGATTAGCAAATGGCAGATTCCATTTCCATGCCTCCTTTCTCTCATGTTATGAATAAGTAAAGAATGCAGATAAAAATGATGTTGATACATAAAATATTTCCTTGTGAGAATGCTTTTAAAACATTTGCAAGCCATGTCAGCAGCATTGAGGAAAGACCTCGTGTTTTGACAGATGCTCTCATGTTGCCGGCATTCTCGGTCCCTGGAGAACTTCTTGACTAGAGTTTTGAGATTCTTAAAAGTACACTTTCCCCTCTCCCTTACTTCCATTGGGAACTGGTAAATAAATCCACAAGTCTTATTTTCTTTTAAAATTAATGACAGAGCTATTGGTAATATAGCACAAGATTCAAGACTGCCCCTTGGTTAAGTACCAGGTTATAGTCTGATCTTCACTTAGTTTGATAGCCTGAGATGTTTTTCCTACACAACCAGACAGACTCTGATAGTAAAGTGGTTCCAACTGCCATTGACTTCTTCAACTCATGGCAACCCCATGTGTGTCAGAGTTGAACTGTGCTTCATAGTATTTTCAATGGCTGATTTTTTTGGAAGTAGATCACCAGCCTTTCTTCCAAGGTGCTTCTGGGTGAGCTCAAGCCCCCAACCTTTCGATTAGCAGTGGGGTACATTAATTATTTGTACCACCCAGGGACTCATGGTAAAGTTGTAGTTGGCACGAGAAATATTATTTCAATGAGGAGTAATTTTCTGGTTTTATTTCCTTTGGCTTTTCTATTTCCCATTTTTTCAAATGTAATTTTTCACTCAGGAATGGGTCTGCCTTCCTCCAAGTTCCTTACCCCTTCAGTCCTTCCCCTATTTCCTCCCTCCCTGCCCAGTTGGACCTGGTGCACAGCTGCATTTCCTAATTGTCTGCACTGGAGAATCTCGACAGTGGCTTCCTCCCCAAGGGCCACGGAAAACATCTGGGCACATGGTCTGCAAACAACAAAAGAAAGAGTTTGGCAAGACACAAGCTGGCCTATGTGGGGTAGCACGCGGTACTTGTCAAAGCAAGCAAAACCAAAGCAAACACACTGCCATCGAGTCGGATCTGACTCATAGCAACCACTCCTTGGGTTTTCGAGGCAGTATCACTATGGAAGTAGATTGTTCAACCTTCCTTCTGAGGAGTGGCTGGTGTATTTGAACCTCCAGGCTTCTGGTTAGCACTCAAATACCGTAGGCACTATACTACCAGAGCTCCTTGTCAAAGTAAGAGGACTTCTTAATTTGATATTGAGATCTATCCTCCACTCCTTCCCCACTTAGGAAGTAAACCTAATAATCTGCTGTGAAGAGATAATTTTTTTCTTAGAAATTAGATATGTGGGCACTCTAGAAAGGAAATTGATTTCAATATTAGACTTGCTCAAGGGTTTGGTGGGTAAGGACAGCTGAAAGAATAAGAATAAGTAGGCATCTGATTTTGATGTTTAAAAGGTGAGCACAGTGAGAATAGAAGGTGAGAATGGTTGTGATGCTATAGAAATTTTATGCATTCAAGGCTCTAAGAACCAGTGTCAATCATTTCTTTACAGTTTACTTGATTAAATTTAAAAGCAAAACAAGTGAAGAAAGATGCTATCATTAATTATTATTCAGATTCTGAAGTCATTTCTAAGAAATATTTCCCCCAAATGGTCTTCAATTGCATCAATTTAAGTCCCAGATTAATGGCAGGTTTTATATTAATTTGTAATTTGAATACCAGGAAATTCTGATAAATTATTCCACAGCCCAAACAGTCTTTAGAAAGAGGATATAAAAACCCATAACTCACTGCTTGGCAACCCATTCCACTAGGAAGTTCCATCTTGAAGACCCCTACATTTGTCAAGCCAAGTGTGTAAGGACTACATCCATGGTAGGCTCCTCTGCAGAAAGAAAACAATGGAGTTTGGGAATTAAGTTTATTTTCTTGAATCAGTGGAATATTGATGGAAATAACTGAGCAGGGCAAAAGAGAAAACACATGAAGGACACCATTAACATTCAACCCCAATGATTTCTAAGAAATCATCACGCCTATGTCAGGTGAAATTACTTATTCAACATTTATTTTAATAGGTGTCAGAAATTGAAATGCTGAAAGGAATTTTGGAGGTCATCTGGCCAAGAACTCTGACTGTAGATCCTAGCTTATTACTCTGAAATAATGAGACTAATCTTTTAACAGACATATCAGAAATTATTCTCCTAAATGGAACTCATGGGTGGTGCAAATGGTTAATGCACTCAGCTGCTAACCAAAAGACTGGTGGTTCAAGTCCATCCAGAGCTGCTTCAGAAGAAAAAACTTGACAATGTGCATCTGAAAGGGCACAGCTGTTGAAAATCCTATAGAGCATAGTTTTAGTCTGACAAATATGGGGTCAGATATTTGTCTGATATTTGTTCCCATAATGCATGTTGATCAATATCTTTGGGAATTCCTCCCTAAATGCCTTGTAAGCCACCTTATGAAGTATATAAGCATACAAGTGTTTGTTCTTTCAACTTGAAATAGTCATATTTAGTATAAGGCCTTTGATTTACCAGCTTTGGCTTCAAACAAGTTTTGGCAATTTCCTAAATCAAAATGATCTTTAAAAGATGAGGAGCCGGAACTATTGTTGTTGTTGTTGTTAAGTGCCATCAAGTCATTTCCGACTCATAGTGACCCCATGCACAGCAGAATGAAACACTGCCTGATCCCGCGCCAGCCCCACAATCCCTGCTATACTTGAGCCCATCATCGCAGCCACTGTGTCAATCCATCTCGTTGAAGGCCTCCCCCTCTTTCGTCGACCCTCCACCCTACCAAGCATGACATCCTTCTCCAGGGAATGGTCCCTTCTGACAACATGACCAAAATAGGTGAGACAAAGTCTGGCCATTCTTGCTTCCAAGGAGCATTCTGGCTGCACTTCCTCCAGGACAGACCTGTTAGTTCTTTTAGCAGTCCATGGTACTTTCAGCATTCTTCGCCAGCACCACAATTCAAAAGCATCAATTCTTCTTTGGTCTTCCTTATTCATTGTCTAGCTCTCACATGCATACCAGGTGATTGGAAATATCATGGCTTTTGTCAGGTGCACCTTAGTCCTTAAGGAGATATCCTTGCTCCTCAGCACTTGAAACAGATCCTTCACAGTTGACTTTCTCAATGCTACACGTCGTCTAATGTCCTGACTGCTGCTTCCATTGGCATCGATTGTAAAACCAAGCAACGTGAATTCTTTGACTACCTCAATCTTCTCTCCATTTATTGTGATGCTGCTCATTGGTCCAGTTGTGAGGATTTTTGTTTTCTTGATATTGAGACATAATCCATACTGCAGACTGTATTCTTCACCCTTCATCAGTAAGTGCCTTAAGTCATCCTGACTTTCAGCAAGCAAAGTTGTATCGTCTGCATATCTCAGGTTATTAATGATTCTTCCTCCAATCCTGATACCACGTTTTTCTTCATATAATCCAGCTTCTTGGATATTTGGAACTATTAAGACTATTCAAAAGAGTAGTCCTATATCTTGAAAGAGGAGACACAAAAATGTGTTGAATTCTGATACCACCATGACTGCTTCACAAAGATTAATCCTCATCATGGACACACATATTCTGGAATGTTTATTTAGGTAAGATATCAAACAAAATTCTTTATTGCCATGCCATATTTCTTTGATAGTGGATGTTTCCTTAGCCTATAATGGTTGCATGTATGTATCACATGAAATTTTGCATTGTTTGTAATGGGCTGGGGTTGAAATCAATTTTCCTTTTTATTTAGACAGAAACTATGGCCTGACTGGGGGAAAAATGAGACTATTTCTTCTTTCCATCAAGTTTTTTTGTAAGTCACTCTGCCTTATAAACATCAGTTTAAATTTGTTGTATAAAATCATCTGAAGGAGGCAACTGTGAGAATAATTCTCAGTTTTCTATTATTTTTAATGCTAATATGGCCATCAAAGAGCAGCTTGAGAAGACAAAGTCAATTATGATAATGAAGTGTGCAAAAACATGGAGTTAGAAAACCTAAAAGTAAGAATATGTTCAGCATTTCTCAAGCCAAAAGAACTGAAAAAAATATTCAAGCCTCAAGTTAAAATATTGAAAGATTCTGTGGGAAAAATATTGAATGCTGTGGGAAACATCAAAACAAGATGGAAGGAAAACACAGAGTCACTGTACCAAAAAGATTGGGTTGATGTTCATCCATTTCAGGAGGTGGCATATGATCAAGAACCAATTGTATTGAAGGAAGAAGTTGAAGCTGCACTGAAGGGAGTGGGAAAAAAACAAGCCTCCAGGAATTGGTAGAATACCCACTGAGATGTTCCAACAAATAGATGCTGTGCTGGAGGCACTCACTTGGCTATGTCAGGAGATTTGGAAGATAGCAACCTGGTCAACTGACTGGAAGAGATCCATATTTGTACCCATTCACAGAATGTGGAAATCATCGAACAATATCATTAATATCTCATGCAAGTAAAATCTTACTGAAGATAATTTAAAAAAGGTTGGTTGTAACAGTATTTTGACAGAGATATTACAGAAATGCAAGCTGGATTCAGAAGGGAACATGGAGCGAGGAATATCATAGCTGATGTCAGATGGATCTTGGCTCAAAGCAAAGAATGCCAGAAAGACATTTACTTATGTTCTATTGACTATGCAAAAGCATTCTATTGTGTGGATCATAACAAATTATGGATAACATTGAGAAGAATGTGAATTTCAGAACACTTAATTGTACTCATGAGGAACCTATACATAGACCAGGAAGCTATCATTCTAACAGAAGAAGGGAGCACTGCATGGTTTAAAATCAAGACGGGAGTGTGTCAGGGTGTATCCTTTCACCACACTTATTCAATCTGCATGCAGTACAAATAATCTGAGAAGCTGGACTACATGAAGAAGAACGTGGCATCAGGATTGGAGGAAGAATCTTTAACAACCTATGATATGCAGATGACACAAGTTTGCTTGCTAAAAGTGAGGATGACTTGAAGTACTTACTGATGAAGATTGAAGACTAGACTACAGTCTGCAGTGTGGATTACACCTCAATATACAGAAAATAAAAATCCTCACAACTGGACCAATAAACAGCATCACAATAAATAGAGAAACGTTTGAAGTTGTCAAAGATTTCATATTATTTAGTTCTACAATCAACTCCTATGGAAGCAGCAGTCAAGACATCAGAGGATGTATAGAGCTGGGCAAGTCGGCTGCAAGGAACCTCTTTCAAGTGCTGAAGAACAAGAATGTCTCTTGAGGACTAAGGTGCATCTGACACAAGCCATGGTATTTTCAATCACCTCATATGTATGTGAGAGCTGGAAAATGAATAAGGAAGACCGAAGAAGAATTGATGTTTTTGAGTTGTGGTGTTGGCAAAGAATGCTAAAAGTACGATGGATGTTAAAAGAACTAACAAATCTTTCCTGGATTAAGTGTAGCTGGAATGCTTCTTGGAAGTGAGAATGGCCAGACTTCATCTCACCTACTTTGATCATGTTGTAAGAAGAGACAATTCCATGGAAAAAGGTATCATGCTTGGTAAAGTAGAGGGTCAACAAAAGACAAGAAGACCCTCAACAAGATGGATTGACACAATGGCTACAATTATGGGCTTAGGTAAAGCAGAGATCATGGAGCTGGCACAGGACTGGGCAGTGTTTCGTTCTGTTGTACATAGGGTCACTATGAGTAGGAGACAGGTCGATGGCACCTAACAGCAACAACAATATGGCCATCAGGGTTTGTAATTAATTAAATGATTGATTCTCAAAAGTCATCCAAAGAAGCAGAAATATGCAGGATTAGGTATGCATCCTCTGAAATGAAAGAGGGTAAAAAGTGAAACAATGGCCTTCTGGCACTATGAGCACATGTATCCTTGTCATAAGCAGATACTAAAATGGACCCAATGTCACACAGTAAGGGGCTCTGGTGGTGTAGTGCCTAAAGCATTTGACTGTTAAGCAGAAGACTGGTGGTTCAAACCCACCAGCTACTCTGTGGAAAGAAGACTGGGCAATCTACTTCTGTAAAGATTTACTACCTTGGAAATCTGAAGGCATTGTTGTTTGCCGTCGAGTCGGCCCCGACTCATAGCGACCCCTCCTTGGGTTTCCGAGGCAGTATCACTATGGAAGTAGGATTGCCCAACCTTCTTTCCGAGGAGTGCTGGTGGGTTTGAACCGCCAGCCTTCTGGTGAGCAGTCAAGTGCCTTAGGCACTATGCTACCTGAAGGCATATGAGTCGGAATTGACTTGATGGCAGTGAGTTTTTTGTTTTTTTCATGTCATACAGTAGAGCCATGAGCTTCTCTGAGCATAGAGAAGTCATTCAGTACTTGGTATATGTTGCAACCAATAATACATCTTCAAAATAAATCAAACAAACAAACAAATCTGTCATGTGATCTTCTTGATGATTCCATAGGGGGATCTATGACTTAATGAGGACTCTAAGCTGTTTGCCAATAAGCAATTTCATGATAAATGGAGAAAAAAATTGAGCATTGAGGTTGTTAAGGATTTCCTTTTACTTGATCCACAATCCATAACCATGGAAGCAGCAATCAAGATATCAGGTGACATATTGCACTGGGCAAATCTACTGCAAAAGACTTCTTTATAGTGTTAAATAGCAAGGATGTCACTTTGAAGACTAAGATGTGCCTGACCGAAGCCATGATATTTTCAGTATGCATGTGAAAGCTGAATAATGAGTACTGAAGACTACAGAAGAATTGGTACGTTTTAAATGTGATGTTACTGAAGAATATTGAAAATACATGGACTGCCAGAAGAACAAACAAATCTGTCTTAGGAGCAGTGCAGCCAAAATGCTCCTTAGAAGTGAGAATGGCCAGACTTCGTCTCACATACTTTGGTCATGTTGTCAGAAAGGACCAGTCCCTGGAGAAGGATATCATGCTTGGTAAAATAAAGGGTCAGTGAAAAAGGGAAGACACTCAATGAGATGGATTGACACAGTAGCTGCAATGATGGGCATAACAAATATAGTGAGGATTGTGCAGGACTGGGCATGTTTCGTTCTGTTGTACATAGGGTCACTATGAGTCGAAACTGAGTTGATGGCACTTAACAACAACATCCTATCATAAAATTCATTTAATTGATCCTGACTTAAAAGCTAAAATTATAAAAATACCCCTAGGAAAGCCTCTTGCCATATTTTAAAGACACATTTAATATTATGGTAAGTTAATCCTGTTAATAGTTGAATATTCCCAGTCAAGATTACCTGAATGAAATGATGTCTGTGTTATTTGAGTGTGCTCTGGCCATCAGCATGGCCAAGTCATTGGCTTCTGAGCCACTGTTTGTCAAGAAAATGACCTGGAAGGAAGAGACACATAACCCTATAATATCTTTCCTTATTACACAATTAATTCAAAATTATGCAGAACAAATAATCTGAGATAATATGACCCACTCTGATTATGAAATCAGTCTGATCATCTAATTACTCTACAGCCCTTCTTTGAGCAGGAGCTAAGTGCCAGAAATATAAAAATGGCTAAGAGATTGCCACAGCTGTGGAAGATTCTGGGATTTCATTGGCCTAACTTGATGCTCTGTAAATGGCTAAGATCAGGAGACTTGCTGAGGAGCACAGAGTGGTTAGGTGCAGAGTGGATGTGAGGATCAGATCTGTTGACTAAACCTAAACCAGCCCTGATTCTGAAGGCTTAGAACCAGGGCTTCAAACGGTTTCTTCACAGTTCAGTAATGGCCAATGCAGCAAAACTGGAATGGACAAAATTTGTAAAATGTAGGTGAATCAGAATGGTAATTGGAATGGGAAAAATTATAGCGTGAATAATTTTGCTAGAAACTTAAACTCCCTTGTAGAAAACAAGGGAAGTGTGTGCGTTGCAAATCTCTTGATCCACAGAGACCGAAACAGTGCTGCCCTGCTCAAAGTTGGTGGCTGACCACACTGCTTTGAATGTGTGTCAATCTCTACAATCCTGGCAATAATCCAGTCTCCCACATTAGGCTCCTGAAAGGGCTCACTATACCTCTTCTGAATCTCCCATTCCAGGGCTTCAACTTGTAACTTCCCCTGTTCCAGTTATCATTCCACTTCACTTAAATATTAAAATTAGATCCTGTTCCAGTTTTGCTCTGTCAGCCATGACTAAACTACTTTAAACTGTTTCAAAGCCCTGCTTCAAACAAAACAGTCACCCTGGCCCTGCAACCTCAGAGGGTGCCCTAGCCTGGCTGTCCTGTGTGTGTGAAAAGAAGCAAGTACACAAAAGTGCAGCACAGGTTGGCCAAAGGAATGATGAGAACTGAAGGGACAGGGTCCTCCAGGCTCTGGGACTGGGAAGTGGATGTGTGCTTGTACCTTTGCTGATTTCCTTGCTTTTTCCTTTCCATGAACATCCCAGTACTGAACTTAGATTGCAGTATTTATGTTGTTGTTGCGAGCTGTGGAGTCAGACCTGACTCAGTGACCCCTCTGTGGGTTTCCGAGGCAGTATCACTACAGAAGTAGATTGCTCAACCTTCCTTCCAAGGAGTGGCTGGTGGATTTGAACCGCCAGCCTTCTGTTTAGCAGTCAAGTGCCTTAGGCACTACGCTACCAGAGCTCCTGCAGTATTTATAGGTTTCTTCATCTTAACCAACCAACCAATTGACATCCAGTCAGGTCTGACTCATGGTGACCCCCTGTGTGTCAGAGTAGAACTGCTCCATAGGGTTTTCAATTGCTGATTTCGCAGAAGCATCGGGGCTTCCTTCCAAGATGCATCTGGGGGACTCTAACCTCCAATCTTTCAGCCAAGTGTATTAACTATTTGCACCACCCAGGGCACCCTCTTCATCTTAGCTTAATAATAAAATAATAATTATAGCTACCACCATATGCTGAGCAATAGCTTAAAGTATTTCATATATATTAACTCATTTTTTGAAAAAGCAAATTTAGACCAATGTTTTAATATCTCAATTCAGGCTGAAATTCAGCCATTTCAAGGGCACAAAAATATCTTTTTTAAATTTTTATTTATTTATTTATTTTATTTTGATTTGGGTGAAGATTTACAGAACAAATTCACTTTCCATACAGCAGTTCACATATACTTTGTCTCATGTCAATGACCACAGTTTACCACAATGCAACAGCTCCCCTCCCACTTCCTCCCCATAGTTACCTCTTCCCAGTGTCCATCCCTCCATACTCTCCTGCCCCCTGAGCTGTCTCCCTGTGCATAAGCAGCCCTTCCTTCTCCCATGATTGTTCTCTCTAGGCCGTGTGTCTACTTGAGGTAAATGTTTAACTCACATGCCAGTACTTTGTTTGGCTGGAAACCACAGGTGTGGGTTCAATTCCAGACCTGAAGGGCAGCTCGGGGCCATAATCTCAGTGGTTCCACCAGGCTCTATTGGACCAGCAAACCTGGTCCCCACCTTCTTTTTTTTTTTTCCCCCTCCAAATGATTTTTGAGTTTTGTTCTCGCTCTCTATCCAGGATCTCCTACATCCCTTCCAAGTGGATGACAGTGGTAGCTGGGCACCATCTAGTTCTTCTGGTCTCATAGTTGTATAGGTTGCAGATCAGATGGTGTACCAGTTGCTAGGACTGATTGTTTCCATTAATTTTGGTTTTCTTCTTTCTTCTTGATGAGGAGCGACCCATCGTTGCATCTAGATGGCAGCTACAAAAATATCTTATTGCAAAAATGTTTAAGTGCATCTTAGACCAAATGAACTGAATGGTTTATTAATTTTATTAAAAAATGGCTCCATGCTTTGTAAGAGAGCAAATGCAAATGCCTTTGTAGAGGGCTATGGAGCAAAGAGATGGAAACCTCTTGAGGAACATAGAGAAGAAAGTCAGGAAGGGTCCTAAGAAATACTTTCTGAAAGGATACGATGCTGAGGAGTGGCCAAGGGAAGAAGAGACTCAGAGAGGATGTATGTCAACATTGGCCACAGAAATGTTTCACCAGCTATTAATAAATCCTTTTCTTCTGCTTGATTGCTCTTAGATATGGCTATTGGCTCAATAGTCCAGTTGTTCAGACTAAATGCCCTGCCTGTGTTTCTGCTTCCTACACCAACTCCCTTGATACCTGGGATCATGAGACTACTGTCCCTTTGACCTGGGACTACCTACCTTAAGAGGCTCAGGGAGAAGTGCTGAGAGCTTCTCTGCATATTCATGCATTGGGGGATGGAAGAAGATGGAGCTTGTATGCCACAGGCGGCCAAGCTGCTTTTTGGCTACTGCATTGACCTTCCTGAAGAAACAGAAGAATGGAGTTAAGCATGCTGCTAGCAGGCATGTCCTCTGGCAACACATACATTGGCTCTTGGACCAAAAACAAAACAGAATAAAAACCAAACCAATTGAGTCAATTCCTACTCATGGCAATCTGTGTGTGGATTAGGGTGGATTAACCAATAAGCAAGGTAAGCACAGACTTGTTTGTTCTTACATACCAATCTTTAGTAAACTAGGATCTTTGATGTGGTGACAAAATGTGAAACTGCTCACTAAAGATTAGTAAGAAAGCACAAGTAAGCCGGTGCTTTCCCTGCTTATTAGGTGATTTGACACTGGGCACAGAGTAGGAATCCCTCGTAGAGCTTTCTTGGCTGAATCTTTATGGAAACAGACAGCTAGGCCTTTCTTCAATGGAGCCTCTGGGTTGGTTCAAATGACCAACCTGTAGGTTAGTAGTCGAGCACAAGTCAACTTTCTTGAACCCAAACAAACACACAGCTATTTCTAAAAGAGTTTCAAGAGGCACACGAGAAAGAATGTCTCTAACTACCAGTATCCATTGGTGGAATGTGTTGTCTGAAAAGGTAATGAATTTCTCATCAAGAGAGAAGTGTTCAAAGGAGATTAAATAATTGTCTGCTATGAATTTTAGGAAATAATTCCTGGCCTAGGAGAGTTTAGACTTAGAAGCTTTTTTAACTATAAGTTTTCTTATTAATCTCCCTTTCTTATTAACCTCTTTTTGGAAAATAGAGATGAGTGGATGAAAGCCTGGTTGCCTGCACATTTTATTCTTAGGATGATAGATCTATTATTCACGTATATGCACTCTTGTCTTGGTTCTCTAGTGCTACTGTAACAGAAAAACCGCAAGCAGATGGCTTCAACAACCAGGAATTTATTCTCTTAAAGTTTAGGAGGCTAGGATTCCAAATTCAGAGTGCCAGCAATAGGGGCGGAGTGAAGGTCCCTTGACCTTGGGTTTGAGCTCTGCCTCTTATTCCAGGCCCACTGGAGCTGGCAGGCTGCTGAGGCTGACGAATCCAAGATTATTAACAAGTAAAATGGCACAAACCTAAGATTGGCAGGCAACACAGCAGACCACTGGTTCAAGTCCAGGAAATGGATATGAAGAGTTGGCCAAATGCAGGATCCAAACATGTAAAAAAGCTACAGACTTTTTCCAAAGTTTCTCCATCTATACTGGAAGCAGTGCACACATGAAAGGCAACTCCCCTTCCACTGATTAAGGTCTTACAACAGATTCCACCATGGCGTTGATTACACTCTCATCATGGGGAATAACTACATTCAGCTGCCAACCCACTCAAGAAGAGCATGGCCTGGCCAAGTTGACATAAAACCTTAACTACCACAATGGTTAATAATTTTTCCTTCAAAGGAGATTCAAATATCTGGTACTGAATAGTGGTTGTTGTTGTTAGGTGCCATCGAGTTGGTTACAACTCATACTGACCCTATTTGCAACAGAATGACACTCTGCATGGTACTGCATCATCCTTCCAATTGTTGCCATGCCTGAGCCCATCATCACAGCCATTGTGTCAGTCTATCTCATTGAGGATCTTCATTGTCACTGGCCCTGTACTTGACCCAGCATGATATCCTTCTCCAGGGGCTGGTCCCTCCTGATAACATGTCTCAAATATGCAAGATGTATACAAGTCTCACCATCCTTGCTTCTAAGGAGCATCCTAGCTGTACTTATTCCAAGACAGATTTGTTCCTTTTTCTGGCAGTCCATGGTATATTTAATATTCTTCACCAGCACCATAATTTAAAGGCATCAATTATTCAGTCTTCCTTATTCATTGTCCAACTTTTGAATGCATATGAGGCAATTGAAAATACCATGGCTTGAGTCAGGCTCACCTTAGTCTGCAATATGACATCTTTGATTTTTAACACTTTAAGAGATATTTTGCAGCAGATCTGCCCAATGTGTCATAATTATGACACCACACTTTTAAAGGATCAGATCAACCTTAAAGGATCAGAAGTTTCATGTTCATGGATAGTAGGAAATAAGGGTAGATAAATAGGTATGCCGAGAATGGCCAGACTTTATCTTTCCTATTTTGGTCATGTTGTTAGAAGGGACCATTCCTTGGAGAAGGATATCATGTTTGGTAAAGTGGAGGGTCAACAAAAAAAGGGGAAGGCCCTCAACCAGATGGAATGACACAGTGGCTACTATGATAGGTTCAGATATAGCAAGGATTGTGAGGCTGGCTCAGGATCAGGCAGTGTTTTGTTCTGTTGTACATAGGGTTGCTATGAATCAGAGCTGACCTGATGGCACCATACAACAACAATAATAAGGAGGTATGTGGGCCACTACTTGTCTGTTAGTTTGTCCTACTGTGGTGCTTTGCATGTTGTTATGATGCTGGAAGCTATGCTACCAGTATTTCAAACACCAGCAGGGTCACACATGGTAGACAAGTTTCAGTGGAGTTTCCACACTAGTACAGACAAGGAAGAACAGCATGGTGGTCTACTTCCAAAAATTAGACAATGAAAAATTTATGGTTCACAACATTGTATTGTGTGGAAGATCAAACATGCCAGTGATCATGGAGATGGTGCAGGGCTGGGAAATATTTTGTTCTGTTGTGCATGGGGTCATTGTAAGTCGGAACCAACTCAATGGCAATTAGCAAGACTTCTAAAAATGTAGTAACTAAATGACTGGGTGGGGAAATGGGATGAAACCGATTCTATGGGGGAAATAATAAGGGAGGGAAGAGAGTGTATTCATGAAAGCTGAGGGCTAAGGAAAGATTCCAGGACACTCAGAATCAGGGGATCAGAGGAACAAGGTAAAGTATCACATGGAGATAAGAAAGAGAAAGGTTATGAAAATGAGTGAGAATGGCTGATTGACAGGGACCATGTCAAAAGGCTATTGGGAGAATTAAATGAGAATGTTTGAAAATTTTCTCTACTCCATTTCCCCCTACTTCTTCCATGTGTTTTTGTCCTATGTTTTAAATTGCATTAGAAATTTATTATGAGTGCTTCTTAGGACCTCCTGAAGACAGTAGGGGCAGGCTATAGGAGAAGAAGGTGAGGGCTAGGTCCTGAAGGTACTACCATTTCATTACCTCCTGAGAGCTGTTTGAGGAGGAGACCTTCTGCCTCTTGCTTTGGCAGAAAAGCCCAAATCTATTCTACTTATTTTACACTTGCTATTTTATTTTATTTTTCACTTAAAATAAGTTTTATTGACCATATTATTAAGGGCAAGAGAAAATAAGCATTAAAATGAGATGGTTGCCCCGTAACCAACAGAATCACAGAAGAACCTGCTGAGAGGACATTTGTGTGGGTGGGTTGGTGATCAAGGCTGCACAAAATCTCAAGATTAATAGACTCATACATTTCCAATGTAAATTTCCAACTGTGATTGTGTCTTTGTCTCATTATCCCCTTTATCCTCAATTATCTCTCAGAGTTAATTAAGATGATTCTCAGCCTAGAAGTTCTTATCTCTCAATGCCTCTCACCCCACACACCTGCCTTCCCTTTCATTTCTGCCTTTTCCTCAGGTGCATTCCATTTTTTGGTAAAGCTGTTACTAGAGAAGGAGAAATACATACAGCAACACTCCAATCACACACAGTGTATGCCACACTGCATATGCAACTAGAATTATAGAACCTTGAATCATCAAGAAAAGTGCAGTCCTAAGATTTTTTCCCCCAGCAAACAGCAGGGAGTATGTCAGTCATAATCCGTAAGAGTTTTTTTTTTTTTTTAAAGCTGAGGTAAGTGAACCAAGGAGTCCCAGGGCAGTGCAAATGGCTAACATGTTGGTTGCTAACTGAGAGGTTAGAGGTTTGAGTCCACTCAGGGGAGCCTACTTTTCACATCTACTTCTGAAAAATCAGCTACTGAAAACCCTGTGGAACATATGGGGCTATCATGAGTCAGAGTTGAATTGATGGCAACTGGTTGATCGGCCCATGGGTTCTGAATCATAAAGATGATTACCAGGCTGTTTCTCAAATATTCCTCTTAAGTGAACATCCCAAATTTTAAGGATACTCACGGATGGCAGTGACCAACACTGACAGTGACAATCCCTGAAAAGAAATCCAGGTATCTGTTTCCCTCGACATCAAATAGCCACTCCATGTGTCCTTGGTGGAGCAACAAGGGCTTCTGAAAGTACGCTGTCACCACAGGAGAGAGATGTCGTTTGTGGATCTCCAGGACATGATTATACTCCAGGGTCTAGAGATAGACAGTAGTTAAAAGCTTTCTTTTCCTAATCTCTGCATTTCTTAAATAAAATTTGCAAGTCAATTTAAAAGTGCTTAGTCTCTGTATAGGAGCTCTAGGGCTGTAGTGCTTTGGCTGCTAACTGAATGGTCAGTGATTCAAACCCACTGGCTGCTCTATGCAAGAAAAATGAGGAGTCTGCTTCCATAAAGATTTTCAGCCTTGCAAAAAGACAAACAGTCCAATTAATATGGGCAGAAGACATGAACCCATATTCATCAGGCACTATTTTTTTAATTGAAATATAATTTATGTACAGTGAAATACACAAAACTAGTGACATGGGTCAATGCATTTTCTTTTTTTTCTGCAGTGTTCCCTTCCCTCCCCTTGCCTCCCACCCCTGGTAACCAACAAAGAAAGTTTCCTTCCATATATAAACCTTTCCTTGACTTTTTACAATAATGAACTAATATAATATTTGTCCTTCTGTGATAGACTTATTTCACTCAGCATAATGTCCTCCAAGTTCATCCATGTTATGCAGTGTTTTGCAGATTCTACAT